GTCTGACACCAGATGCAGGGAGGGGAAAAAAATCCTTCCTGTAGAGTTGGCCAAAATACTTTATAGACTGCCACACAAAAAAAATGTTTTACTTTGCAGCTCACAATTCTTTACATTCAAACAGTTCAGAGAAAAAGGTGGAACAACATTACATCATGTGCCAGTATGTGGTTTTAATACACACCTGTTAATACATAAAGCTGACTTGTTGCAGTTTGTGTTCACATCTCTTCAAGCTGGATCACGTGAACACTTTTTTCCTTTCTGAAAACATTCCTGTGTTTCTTTAGAGCACAGCGTCAGGGACTAAAGCTCAGCTTAAAATGAATTCTCAGTTGCAGAACTCCGAACGAATCAGAACGATAGCACCACAACCAGACTCCAGGTGATTGAGTTAAATAATTACAATCCCATCTACACAGACACATTTATAACATAACCGTAGCCTTGATAATGTAACTAAATTTAAAGTCCCAATGAAAATTTTTTGGTAATACTTTTTGAAAGTAATTTTCTAATTATAAAAGAAGTTTTGACTTTTTGTATTTGAAGAATATGAATGTCACAGGCACTTAAATGCTTATTTTTTGTCACATATCACAAGTTGAATGCACTGTTTTTTCATAAAATCACTGGTAAACATTAATTTCTAATAAATGTTTTCTTTTCAATGTTTGGCTAGTTGACAAATGTAAAAGCCACGGTCAGTACTGTCATCAGTAAACACTGCTCCTGTGTGCTTGCTAAATTTAGTTTCTTTTCTCAAACATACTGAAAAGTGTTTGTTGTTCTGTTCTTGGCTGCATTTGCAGACACAGACCAGGAGCTGCTTGCCACAAGTAACTATGAACAGGAGTAATGAGGCATTACAATCACACCAGAACCCTCGTGCCTCAGGTGCATCAAGTGGAGTTCATAAATCACAACACAAGCTAATCTAGGGTCTAGACTACTGGTCCAGACGGGGTGACACACTTCTCAGCTTTAGATTAAACAAAGCAAGTAGTGCTAAAAATTGCACTCAAGTGGGGGAAAATGTAAAAGACTTGGACCAATAATGAGATACCATGGGACAACTAACATTCTTTACTATGCTACTATTCTAAATGCATGTCTGCTTTTTTGAGGCTGTATAACATGCACCTGTAATTCCACATACTTTCAGAAATTATCCCCTCAGAAATAGCTATGCAAGTAATAGGGGCTTCTAAAACTGCCACATAAAAGCTGGCGTGGGCCTGAATTATGGCCTGCAATGCGACGAACCACACCAAGCTGCTGCTGGTTAGTTGGTTGGTTGGTTGGTGGGCCACAGCCAGTCTCCATATGTTGCTGCCGTCAGGTGGCCCAGCATGAGGAATATTATATGGTGTGTGTGCATGTGTGTGAGTGAGAGTGAAGTTAAGTTCTGGGGAGATCGATGCAGGTGGCACTTCTAAAATCCCCTTCCTCCAGTTCTCTGGCAGGTTGGGAGCAGAGGAGATTTAATCTGGAATAAAAGGTTTGACTAACAGACCTGTAGCAAAACAACTTTTAAATTATTTTTTTTAGATTTGACTGGATTATTCTACAAAAATAATCACTTTAACATGATTAATTTTTTTATTTTAAATCTCAACTGTGGTTTAGATGCGTTGAGCACCTGCTAACTATATTTTAAACAAACATCAAATATCTAATAAGGCTTTTAAAACCTCACTTCCGTTTAGAAACGAGAAAAAATGTGTAGGTGGTCCATCATTTTTGTTGCCCAGAATACATTTGTGTTTACCCAAAGTGACCCAGAGCACTAAAATATGGTGTTCATCTCAATTTTCCACTTAGTTCTGAATATGCTTAATTCTTTTCTTTACTGAGGCAATTTGTGAAACCTAACACTGAACGTGTTTACAGATGCACACAGCCTTCAAGCACCCACCTCAACAAGCCAATGTGAGATCAAATTCTAGTACTCCAACCATCCCAAGTTTAATATTTACCAACAGAAAACCACTTCAGTTGTACATTAACTACTGCATTGCAAACATCACTTTGGTGTGGCTCAAGAATCAACTTCATTAACAGTTTTACAACCAAAAAACACCATTGTTGTGCTGCAACAGGTCTTACTGAATAATTCTATTTCCATATGGATGCATGAAAACATTTAAGATGGGTTACAGTATTTACGATAAAGGCAGAAAAGGCTCAAAGCTCATCCTGAAGGGAGTGGGCAAAAACAACTCAACTGTATTTTAATGAAAAAGACCCGGATATTCCTTTTAAAATAGGACATAAAATAATGACATAAGTAAGCATGTAAGCTTCGCTGTAATGAGAATTCATTTTCCTTGTTAAAACTGGATATAATGTAGGACTTTATGATCAGCTCTGATCCTTCTGACTTATATTTAATCTATGTTACACAGGAGAGTAAACTTTTTTACTGTATATGGTGAACTTTTTTTTCCCACTAACCACTAAACAACCCTGAACTCTGTCAGACCTGCTCATCACCAGTCTTCCAGGAGCCAACAGTCATGTCATGTTTATTGGACTTTAACTGTGCTGACAGACAACACAAGAGGTAGAATGACAGGTAGGCTGCCTCCCATAAAAACCGATGGGGTCAAATATGAATCACTCCATCTTTGACATGACAAAGCTCAAATCATTGCAATAATAATTTTTACCATGATAACCATCATTATTTAATAGAAATAAACTGACAAGACGACAAACTGTTGGAAACTCTTAAGCTCCATTTAACCTGATGTAGGATAATCTAAGCTTTGATGTTTAAAGCCATGAGAAATATATATGTTTTTTATATATTAAAAAAACATAAAAGCTAAGTTAGTAAGTTTTAATAAAAGGCAGAAAATGTCAATTCTTAAACAAATGGATTTTATGTATCAAGTTTCTACAAAAACAGACAAAAAAAGGTCTTTAGCAGGCTCTTACATTTTTCAGAATATTAGGTTTTAAAAACATACTTCAGCTGTGATGAGTTAAACTTGTAACAAAGGGGGGAAAATAGAAATATTTACAAATGACAATTCTAATATTGCCTAATCGAGTTCCTAAGTAAGCACAGCACACAAGTGTGCCAAAACCTGACTTGTCAGAATCCCCACTTTATTATTTTTTTGTGAACAGTTTTATGACTTTTACTTGAGTAGTTTTCTCATCAGTGAAATTTATATTTACCAAAGTCATTTTCTGTTTATGTAATTTTACTTTTACTTAGTTACTAGATTGCAGAGGTCTATAAAGTACTTGAAAAAACTGTTACCTAGTACTATAAAACTATGTTACCTTCAGCTGTTATGAAAATGCTGTATATACCAAAAATAAACCTGACTTTGCATCACAGCCTATCTACACACCTTGAAATTGGCCTCTGTCTCTATAAGAACCTCCTACTGTTTCTAACAATCCCACTTCAGCACATCTTTACAACAACACTACAGGGGAGGGGCGTTCTGTGGGGCAGGAGCTCAGCTGCAGAATGAGCTCCAGGGAGGAGCTTTGTACCAACAAGTGTTTAGGTAGCTTCACATGCTACAGGAGATTCAAGGATTTCTCAAACATGCATGAAAGAGTCAAAGCAACACTCTGGGTATGTTTTTGATGAGGGAATGAAATAACATGAGATAAAGGTCAAAAATTCTAATTTTGAATATGTCCCCTTTAAAAAGACCCCAGTATGTTTTAAAATGTCCTGCTGACTCACTGCTGTTTTAGAACAATCAATAATTATGATATATTATGATTTCAACTTTGACTTTTGTCAAAATCTCATATTGGCACTACTCAAACAGTACAATATTGTACATGATTTCTTGGGAATAAGTTATAAAAACATGTTCTGTATAAAAAGAGAATGTAATTAGTTTTAATAGCTTAAAGGAGACTTGAGAAATCTTGTAGAAAGAAAAACATTCAGACATTTGAATTCACTATGTGAGGCAGGGCAGCAAACTTAAGTAGGGATTGGGGCAGAGACAAATAACTCAGTCTTTTATTATTAGCAGAGAGCACTGGGAATCAGGTTTTAAGAACAAGCTAAAACAATTTTCTACATTAAGACATTAAGGTGCCATTTGTCGCCAGGTAACCACCACAGAGCAGACGTAGCATTTGTCTGGAGAAGAAGTCAAAACCATCTGCTGTTCTTTGACATGTTTAAATCCAAACTAATAGGAGGAAATAGACTCCCAAGGTGGTGATCTGGCACAGGTTTTCAGCTTTAACAGGCACTTTGACTGCTAGGTGTGAGAGAGAGGGCACAGATTGAACCTGCGTGTGTGTGTGTGTGTGTGTGGGGGGGGGGGGGGGGGGGGGGGGGGGGGGGGGGGGGGGGCAAATACAGCAAGTTACTGAAAATGGGGATTGAATGAATTACTTTTTTTGTCTTTACAATACAGAGCAAGCACAATGTGAAGACTTTTGGCATGCTGGAGGAAGACCAAAAAAAATCTTGATGAATTTAAGTTCATAAAGTCAAATCCAGTGGCACAAAAGGCATATAGATTTAATTTAAAAAGCATAAATCATTTGAGTATTTTCAACAGTAAAAAATAAAGCTAACCCTTATGAATATTATTCCCCCACACACACACAATGAGGCCAGTGAGAGTCCACTGATCCTCTAATATTGCCTTTATTTTATTGTCTCTCCATCTGGCGTTACTCCTTCTATCCATAATTTGTCACTTTTCATCTGTAAAGGTAATTAAATTGTAATCACTTCTGTGATTGTTCAGGTTACAGTCACTCATTTCAGCTCTCTCTCTCTTTGACTTTGATAAAAAATAAAAATTTAGTAACATGTTTCTTTTTTTATTTTTTATCTCCTGTGACCACACTATTTGCTCTATTTTCCCCCCAAACTGGTGACAGTAGAAATTATAACAAAMCTGTATCCAATAAAACAACTGCACACACACCTGATACACAGAGTTAAGTACACACATTTGTGCAGTATGTTTTATAGTATACAAGTGATATAAGCTCACCATAATGCAGGCATCTGAATGAGCTTCCCATAGACTGCAGTGCTGAAGGAAGGGATGATGGGGATGAGAGGCAGGAAGCAGCCGGTACTGTCCTGGCATGTCAAGCCTGCCTGGAATCCAAACACCTGCAAACACAAACATCACAGAAAAATAAAGAAACGGATCAAACCAGATTTTGAAAATTTGAGGATTTTACAGACTGAATTATTTTTTGTTTGAACAATTTTCTAATAAAAATAGTGAAACTTGTTAAACTTTGTATTGGCTTTGATCAAAACGAATCACTAAGGTTTGTGCTTGAATCAAAATGTGAAAATAGAATAGAATAGAATAGAAATAGCCTTTATTGTCCCACGCGTGGAAATTCAGGTGTAATAGTAGCAGATACCTATATCAATCCACAGAAACAGTAAATTGCAATGTGACATTACCAACTGTAGCATATATGACTTATGAGTAAAGATTTATAATAAATTAATTATAGCTTTGAAAAATAATGACTGGACAAACAACAAACAAACAACATACCCCTCAAGTTGTTTCCTGTATTTTTGTTAGAGTTTATGCAGGATAATGTGTGCCACAGGATTTTTCATTCATGCAAACAGATCAGTGATTCTTTCAGGGCTTAATGTAAGTATGATTTTATCAACATTTGAAGGAAAAATAAAACACCATTTGCTATGATGCGTCTTTTTCCTGTAAACCATTCTTCTGATGCCATTTCTGTTGTAGATAGTTTACAACAGATAGAAAAAGCAAATATACTTGTAGATTTAAAAAAATGTCTTTAGAGACAACATGTTGATTCTCCAATGTTGTGTTAGTTTGAGTCATTGTATTATTTCTGGTTTAAATCACTTTGTTCCACAACAAAATGTCAGACAAAGAGGTTTTAGACAAGGAACATTTTGTTACTAAGACAGGAAGATTAAATATTAGGAAGTTTAAAATTGTACTAATAAAATATTGCAATACTTTCTAGCTTAATACAATACAAAAATACCATCCAGCATATGATGCAAAAGCAAAAGAAGGTTACTTAGATTTCAGAATTGTGCAGACTGTCCAGCAAACTCGAGTGCCAGCAGTGAATCACGAAGCCATGACCAACTCTGAGCTTTTGTACAATTACTGAAAAGTGAGACAATAATGGAAAAGCACTGCTCTCAAAGCAACACAGAGAGTGCCAATAAAACATAGATTAAGATAAGCTTTAGTTTATCCTCTTTTCAAATCTCTCCCTGAACAGAGTGAAATACATCCAAAGTGACCTCCACCCTTTCATGATCCCACCACCAAAACCCAGAGGCAGAAATAGAACCTTGGCAGATAGATGCTGATCGGTCACAACAAGCTTTGGCCACTAACCAGTTGACCGTTAACCCTGCAGTGACCCTGTGATAAGGACTACCAGCACAGTATCCAGTAAACATCCTGACCATACCAGGAGGAGTTGGACCAACAGAAACCAGCTCACAACCATTATCTCGGCCTTAAAAACTTAACTTTCTGCATCTGTTGTATTATATGGAACTTTATTTAAAAAACAAATATAAATTAGCTTTTATGTAGATAAAAAAATAAACAAATGACAATTTTACTTTACCTTAAGCCACTTTAATGTTAAGGTTTTGTTTGTCTTTAAACTTATTACAGAATTACCAAGTGTTTCAGTAAAGTTTTACCTTATTATTTTAAACCCTATACAAATTCTAATTAAAAAGTTTATCAGCTGAAAGTATGAAAAGTCTAGAGTTTTCCAAAGGATTGATCAGAATATTTTAAGTTTGTTGTTTCTTTTAACCAATTACAAAGATATTTAATAAAAGATTTATTAAATCCTTTGATAGGAAGAAAAGACTCTTGACCTGATTTGCAGTTCTAATTGTAATTACCAATAAAATATAAACTGATACACAAAATATTTATAAAAACATGACAGAAACCATGTTGAAGTAAAATGTACTGTTGCCAGAATGCAAGCCGATAGCATCTCATCAGCTTAGAAGACAGAACTCATGAGGGGGACCAGAGATGGACTGGACTTTTTCACATTTTATAACCAGTTGAAAAGGGGTCATTCAAGGTCATTAAAAAGGTCACAGGGATCATTTCAAAGTGGTGTTAAAGGTAGTATCTCAAAGAGCCATGGCTGCTGGGGACAAGATGTCTCAAAACATTTGCAAAGGTTCTCAATTTTCTAGCGTGGATCTAACTATTTCATTGCAGTATTTGAGACAGCACTGCCAAATAAGGTCTGGACTTACAAACTACAATTTGGTGGTCTTCATTCTCTTCTGCCACCAACATGTAAGCATGGATGGACTAGTCTTCCCTTGTTATATAGTCTCTGCTATCAAACTGGAATGAACCCGTCTGGAAGCCGGGGGGTGGGGTGGACCTCATTTGGATTTAAAGAGACAGCCTCAAAACGAGCTGATCTGAGAGACAGCTCAGAAAAGGGGTGAAAGAGGGGCTTGTGGAGCTACAATAAGGACCAAAGCATTGCAGTTTTACTTTATGAAGACCCCAACTGAAGGAGGTGAATGTAGAAAAATAAGGATTGAAAAGCATCATATGTCTCCTTTAACATGACTGCACTGCTCACTGGTCACTTGACCACAAACAGAACTCAGTGGGACTGTACGTGTAAGTTTTTTTATTTCACGACTTTGAGTCTTCAACTAGTTTCCAACGGATGCCGCTCTGTTAGATATGTTACTGATAGGGAGTAGGTCAATGTTGCCGACTTGTCTGCAGATGTTCTGTAAAACATGTTTTACATTTCTTAAACTGTGCTCTGACAACATAAAAAAACTGCAAAAACAAAACAAAAACATTATTCACTCCATATTTTATTTCTGATGATTTGAAAATATGAATAAATTCAGTTGTGAACCATTTGCCCTGCAGCAGAGTAGAATATTTCTGTGCTCACCTTGAGGTAGACATGTGAATAGCAGTGATGTAGCAGGTTGTCAGGAGGCTGGTTTAGACTGCTGACAGTAGTGACCAGTTCTGGAGCGTACATTGGCACAGAGTGTTCAACATTTACTCTTTCCACCTGGAACTGCACAGAGGGTAAGAGTTGGAGTGGCTGAAACACTGGAACAGAGACTGGACCTGGTGAAGCCTGGAGACATTAAAAAAAAAAAATATTAGCAGACATTAGTTCAATAGCACAAATTCAGGTATTTCTTTTATTTTAGGAAATTACAATACAGTATGAGCTTGACAAAACTTAGGCCAATAGTGTGTTTAATCTAGGTGCTACCTTGTGTCCCATGATGACAGGAATGAGTGCATGAAGGAGGTTGAACTCTGCCATGGAGACAGTGACAGACACTTGGAGCAGCGTGAGACAGCTGAGTCTGACTGGGATGAACTCTTCTAAATTTGAAATCTCCTCTGGAGTTGATGAAACACTGCAGACCTCAATAACCTCTGCAAAGAAAAACAGAAACAAATGTGTCATCTTTGGAACATATACTGAAAAATATAACAGAAAATGTACCAAGAAATTACAGAAAGTGGGCTGCTTTCACAATGGATTTTGACAAAATGCCAAGACCCTGCAAAGACCATCCACAAAGGTACATAATAAGAATGTAGTGAGCTTCTCATTACGCATGTCAGAGCGTGGCGAGGCTAGAATGCTTTTAATCAAGCCAAAGACTTTAGTAGTTAGACTGTGGAAGTTTGTAATTGTGGCTGCAGCATAAAAGAGTTCATGCACACCAGCTCAGCTTGGTCAGTGAGGATTTGAAACAAAACAGGTCATCAAGCCTAGCTTACGACTGATTGTACAGTTTCAATGAATTCTGACCATTTCCAACCAGGTCACCAGCAAACTGTGAGGCCACTTTTTGAAAGACCTGTTTCTGAAAATCACTGCCTATTTGTGTGAAATTTTGGTTATTTAAACTTTACTAAAGTAGTTAATTTTCAGCCAACTTTTTACTCCCTACTCCTTATATTTTCAATCAATTATCTGTACTTTTTACTTCTTACATTTTTTTAAGTAAAACCTAGAAAGTTGTTACTCCCATTTCCTTTTGACTTGCTTTCCCTTCAATATTTTATTGTTAAAAAAACCCAATCCAAATAAATTGTGCCTTTGGGACAGAGTGAATTTAACTGTAGTTGGATGAGAAGTACAAATATACTGTATATTATTGTGACACTCTTGATTTGTACATTCCATCACACCTGTAAGACACAAATCACATGACACTCCAGCAGGACATATTAGATGTAGACTAGTAAGATGTCGTCTTGGCAGAGATATACTGTATGTGTGGCTGAAACAGGTAGCCTACTGTATCCTACATTTTTCAACATTAATATTTTAATATTACATTATAGTCATGGCCTTTACAAAAATGTTCTTTGGTGAGGTCGCCTCCCAATAAATGGCAATTTGGAAAGTCTAAACAGTCACATTTAATACTTTTACTTTTAGATAAGGTAAGAGACAAGATAAAACTTTATTGATCCACAGCAGGGAAATTTGCACATTATTGCAACTCAATACAGGAGAGGATGAGATAGAATAAAGAAAGATAAATAAAAGAAAAACAAAAATAGACTATACACATGTGATATACACTCACCGGCCACTTTATTAGGTACACCTGTCCAACTGCTCGTTAACACTTAATTTCTAATCATCCAATCACATGGCGGCAACTCAGTGCATTTAGGCATGTAGACATGGTCAAGACAATCTCCTGCAGTTCAAACCGAGCATCAGTATGGGGAAGAAAGGTGATTTGAGTGCCTTTGAAHGTGGCATGGTTGTTGGTGCCAGAAGGGCTGGTCTGAGTATTTCAGAAACTGCTGATCTACTGGGATTTTCACGCACAACCATCTCTAGGGTTTACAGAGAATGGTCCGAAAAAGAAAAAACATCCAGTGAGCGGCAGTCCTGTGGGCGGAAATGCCTTGTTGATGCCAGAGGTCAGAGGAGAATGGGCAGACTGGTTCGAGCTGATAGAAAGGCAACAGTGACTCAAATAACCACCCGTTACAACCAAGGTGGGCAGAAGAGCATCTCTGAACGCACAGTACGTCGAACTTTGAGGCAGATGGGCTTCAGCAGCAGAAGACCACACCGGGTGCCACTCCTTTCAGCTAAGAACAGGAAACTGAGGCTACAATTTGCACAAGCTCATCGAAATTGGACAAGAGAAGATTGGAAAAACGTTGCCTGGTCTGATGAGTCTCGATTTCTGCTGCGACATTCGGATGGTAGGGTCAGAATTTGGCGTCAACAACATGAAAGCATGGATCCATCCTGCCTTGTATCAACGGTTCAGGCTGGTGGTGGTGGTGTCATGGTGTGGGGAATCTTTTCTTGGCACTCTTTGGGCCCCTTGGTACCAATTGAGCATCATTGCAACGCCACAGCCTACCTGAGTATTGTTGCTGACCATGTCCATCCCTTTATGACCACAATGTACCCAACATCTGATGGCTACTTTCAGCAGGATAATGCGCCATGTCATAAAGCTGGAATCATCTCAGACTGGTTTCTTGAACATGACAATGAGTTCACTGTACTCAAATGGCCTCCACAGTCACCAGATCTCAATCCAATAGAGCATCTTTGGGATGTGGTGGAACGGGAGATTCGCATCATGGATGTGCAGCCGACAAATCTGCGGCAACTGTGTGATGCCATCATGTCAATATGGACCAAAATCTCTGAGGAATGCTTCCAGCACCTTGTTGAATCTATGCCACGAAGAATTGAGGCAGTTCTGAAGGCAAAAGGGGGTCCAACGCGTTACTAGCGTGGTGTACCTAATAAAGTGGCCGGTGAGTGTATAACAATGCACATATACACACATACATAAAAACATATATACCGTATAGTACAGTAAATACATGAATCTATATGAAGGTACATATTAGTGATGGCAGTGTAGGTGAATTGTCCAAGTGACTGATAACATCATGATGTGTTATACAGTCTAACTGCAGTTGGAATGAATGACCTATGGAAGCGCTCCGTCCTGCAGCGAGGATGTTTAAGTCTCTGACTGAATGAGTTGCTCAGCCCCCCACGGTTTCATGCAGAGGGTGGTGGGGGTTGTCCATGATGGCTGTCAGCTTTGCTAACATCCTCCTCTCACCCACCACTACCACAGGCTCCCAGCACAGAGTTTGACCTCCGTACCAGTTTGTCAATCCTGTTCCTGACCCTTTCAGTACATCCCGCTGCCCAGCAGAAAGGGCACGTAATACTCAAGTACATTTTATATCATAAATTTACTTTGATATATAAGTACAGTAAATGTCAGATACTTTAAGACTTTTACTCAAGTAATATTTTAGAGAAAACTATATATTTTATCAAGTTTATGGTAATATACTGATTCTTCTACTCAAGTATCACTCTGAGGTGCTTTATACAAGACTGCCTGCCTGAAACTCTGAACTCTTTCTTCTGGTCTTGGCACTGAACCCAGCACCTTGGCTTTTGTCAGTTCTGTAAAGATTGTGTTGGGCTTGTTCCCCAACTCCAAGGTGGTCTTACAACCTGATTGCATAGCAGTTTCAGTCGTTGGCCTACAGCCATGACACGCTTCCACTGCTGCACCTGAATCAGGACCAGGGCACAATCAATATCCACAATGAACATTTAAATTACAACCCATTAGCTTACATGTGTAATTTAAGTTAATTTAAAACTAAACACTTTCGGCCAGTCTGAAAAGATGACAAAAATATTTACAGTTTAAATAAGTATATTAATGTATGCCAAGTCACACACATTCGCACATTTTTGTTTTTGTTCATTTCCTGTTTCAAAGAAAGTTTTTCCTTGGTTTATTTTTTGGTAAGTTAAAATTATTTTCATTGCAGATCTTCATGATGCAAAATACAAATCCTGCAAATTTGTCCTATTTTCACAAATGCCTTCAAAATAAAATTGTTTTACTGTTTGTTGAAAAAAAAAACATAGAAAGAACCAAAACAATGTTTTCCTGACAAAACACACAGCTGTAGTGAAGAGGAGATGTTTTCAGAGTGTTGGCAGCACGACTCAGTGGTTAGCATTGATGCCTCACAGCAAGAAGATCCTGGGTTCGATCCCCAGTTCAAACCTGGGCTCTTTCCGTGTGGTGTTTACATGTTGTCCTCATGCTTGTGTGGGTTTTCTCCCACAGACCAAAAACATGCACTTTAAGGCCTCCCTTGCAAGAGTTCTATGAGCTCAACGGGATTTGCCAGGTTAATAAAAAATTAATGAATAAAAAATTAATAAAAAACCAAACTCGTGTATGCAATTTAAAACATGTAATATTTTAAAAGTTAAAAAATGTAAATAGGAATGTTTCTCTTATTATACAGCTTGTTTTGAAACCCCCACGAGAGTGAAATTATACACAATCTTCTGCAGAAAATGCTGGAGTTCGAAAAATGCAAACATTTTAGACAAAAGATATGATAATACCTGTTTTATTGTCTGTTGTGGTTATTACCAATGCTGAAGAAATCTAAAGGCACAACCATCAGCATTTCCTTTGCAAAAAAAAAAACTTTGCATGTTTTTCATATTATCCAAGGGAATGTTCCCAATTGGCAAATCATGGGGATGGTCAGTAATAAAAGCTGTCATGCGGCAAAAAAAGTCACTATTTTCAAATACAGCTGTGTGCTGAAAAATGAATTGTGCAAGAAGATGACAATGAGATGAGAACAACATAAGGTGCGCATCACTGAACTTAATGGTGGAGAAAATAGAGAAATAAAAGATAAGACTGTAAATTCAGCGTGGGAACTCTGACCTGGAGTCGGTTTGCAGTAAGGTTCATATTCGTGGTCCATGGCACAAGTGATCATCTTGAGGATCCGGTGGACGGCGCTACTGTGCAGCCGGACGTCAAGAGGTCCCACCACCAGCCTTTTAATAGAAGTCTCTTGAACCTTTGGCATTAATTCCTCAGTACTCAACACAGAGAAGTCCTGAGAGCCTATAAAAAGAAATATATTACAGTGTATGCGGTATTTTTACAAACAATGATTCTCAAAGTTAAATCAGATATTTAGAATCACCATTTCCATTTGATATCCAAATTTGCTTTTCTCGTTATTATGTGAGGTAGTCAAGTTTTTCTCCACGCCCGGCACAAACACTACAAGGATAACTGTAACACAGCAGTGGGAGCAGCACACGCAGCCGTGAACTGAAGAGATGAATATTCCAAATGTCCTGTTCTCTCATACAGCTGTCCATTCATTTCAGACCCATGCTCCAGAAGTCCACTTTAAAAGACTCAGCTCCCCGGCAATAAAACGGAAGAAATTAAAAATAAAAGGAGGGGGTGGATGATTGGCAGGGAGGGAGGAAGAGGACAAAGGGTCACAGTTGCTTTATTTCTTTTACATTCCACCACTGCACTGAACATTTTTGGAGTCAACACTATGAATCCTTTTCCCCAAGTAAAGACTAGGATATGAGGTTGGAACTCCAGCAGAATTTTGAAAACTTGTAAAGAGCAACAGGCAATGCCACATCCCCTTCCCCCCCAGCAAGACTGGGTCGCAGTGGATTACACCTAATATCAACCATATGGCTGCAGTTAGAATGGCCAGAATGATGAGAAGGCTGAAATTAGCTGGGATTTTGAACATTTTAATGTGTCTCTATTTCCTTAGATTAAAAAAAGTCTTTAAACCTACAGCATTACTTTAACATGAAGTCAACGGTATGAGTGACCCAACGGTATGAGTGACCCAGGTGGGTTAGTATTTCGGTTGACTCAGGGTGAGCTAGTGCAATGAAACCTCATTTATTTAGTTGACTCTGGATGAGGTCTGAGTCAAAGAAGGGAAACATTCCTGGTGGCAGGGGCAACTTCTTCTGTTCCACAGGAAAAACAATTGACACTTATCCTGCTGTCAGAAATGTCTGACAGCTCCGGATGACTGTCTTAAAGAGGTCATATCATGCAAAATCCACTTTAGCCGTTAAATACATTTTGTTGTGTACTTTGAGTCTGTAGGAGACAGAAAGATTTAATTTATTCTCTCCTGGTGCCTCAAAGATTCTGTTTGTGTCATATTTTTCAACCTGTTCCGTGTTCTCTATTTTCTGTGATGTTTTCTGAACCATTACATCAGTTTTTGGGACGAAACTTCTAAATAAGGTCTGGACTTACAAACTACAATTTGGTGGTCTTCATTCTCCTCTGACTCTGGGTCAGACTCTGGCTCCAACATGTAAGTCTGGATGGACAAGTCTTCCCTTGTTAACATATTTTAATTTGTAAATAAAAAGTTTTGTGCCGCTAGATAGTCGTAACCTCTGTCCAGCTAGAGTGGACCGATCTGGAAGCTGGAGGGGGGGGGGGTGTAAAGTGTTTATGTTTTTTTTTTTTTGGATGTAAAGACGCAGCCTCAAAATGAGTTGATCTGAGACACATCTCAGAAAAGGAGTAAAAGAGGGGCTTGTGGAGTTACAATAAGGAGGAATTCAGACCAAAGCATTACAATTCTACTTTATATAGACCCCAACTGAAGGATTTAGATGTGAAAAAGTCTTTAAAAGCATGATATGTCTGCTTTAATATTCTGTTTTTCATTTAGATTATTATCTCAGACAGCATCCGATGGAAAAAAGGTACAAATGGGTCAATTATAGAAAATCATTGAAAGAAATACAACAAAGTTGAGTCTAAATTACCACTTTAAATTTTTAAAAATAACTACTGTGCAATATACCACAAACTTACTTAACCATAATGCTTTTACAAAAGAGGCTGTATGTTTAAGGAGAAATATTAGGATATTGTTTAAAATATGGCCAAACACAGGTGAGATTTGTGTCATTACCGTGTTTGCACAGAGAAAAGCTTTCTACCAACAGTGGGGGGAAAGCTGCTCAATCTCTCACACTTTTGTGGGCCAAGAATAATATTTCTAACTGAAGAAGGCAGCCTTTATCTCCTAATGGGAACTTCAGATCTTTCAGATTTGAATAAACATTGTCGAGTGCTGCTGCTGCTGAGGAATGAGGAACTTTACCCGTCTTAAGGCTTCTGCCTGGAAGAGTGACATCTAATTAGGCAAGAGGGGCCTGTTCACTTTCTCAAGAGCTTACAGGTAAAGAAATAGAGGGGAAACGGTGTTTCAACAAGCAAAAGATAGAGAGAAACTCAAATACGTGTCAGTGTAGACTAAACACTTCTGACAGTTGCCCCGCAGGTAAGTTTGGGGTGAGAGTGAGGACAGAGAGGGTCAAGGACCAGGTGGTTGTGAATAAAAAGGAGACAAGCGCTTTCTTCAAGCCTCAAACGGGCCTGTTTGACATGGAGGAGAAAAGAGAGAAGAGGGGAAAAGGGTAAGAAAGAAAGAGCAGACAGATAAGAGAAGGAGAGAACATGACGGATATAAAAGAGAGTTAAGTGATGGTCAGGTGACCAAACAAGCTTTGTGAGGAGTAATAAATTAAACAATACCTTTGGAGCTGCTGTTCTCCATTGTGTAGAGATAATCCATGTAGAAAGCCCCAAAGCGCTGCATGCCTGTTATCTCTGTATAGGTCTCCTGTCAAACAAAAGTGGAGTTTGGTAAATATGGCAGTGAGGCAGCAAACAGGCTGATAGCCTTTCAGATGGCAGTGACTGGGGTCAAGGCAGATATGGCAGAGAGAGTTAAGTCAGAGATAGAAAACTTATTGAGTGCTTAACTACTTATTTTTGTTTTAATGGACCAGTGACAACAGTAATTGAAGGCCTAACAATCTTTGAAGGAATGCACTGATGAAACCAAGATCATCATGTCAAGAAAAGACATAGCTGTTAATGTAGGGGTGCAACAATTCATGTATCTGTATCGAAACGTTCAATACAGTGCTTTAGGTTCAATACAACACTATTGTATGTATGGAACAATACAGAGTTTTAAAAGGTATTTTAGCAACTTGTCTTCTGAAGATGCTCTGTGTTGAAGGCTCAATGGATCTGTGTTCGACTACTCCACCTAGACTGCACCGTCGAGCTCAGAGCCACTGAGAAAACATTTCATTTGAAAACTGTACTTTTGAGGTTAAACAAAATGTTCATAATTTCAGTAAATTACAAGTAAAGAAGGGCATGGAAATCTTTTTTTGTATCGAAAAATAAATATATATTTTTTTAAAGTGACACTAAAGTATCAAACTGAACCACATCGTGAATTTTCTGTATTGTTGCACCCTAAATGTTTTGGTTTAATGTGAAAATAATATTTGTGATCTCATGCAATGTCGCAATCTTTTAAAGCCATTTCAACATCTGAAGATGGAAATTGTCTCTCTTTGGCATATAAGGAAGTTTTTCCTCTCCACTGTCACCCGTGTGCTGCTCGGGATGGGAGACTGTGATGAAGTGATTCAACACAATCCTGCTAGCTTCTTTACATTGTTTTTTTTATACTGCGCCCTGAGACGTTTGTTGCGACAATGTTATACAAATAAACTGAACTGAATAGCTGTACAATGAAAATGTTATATTTTGTTCTCAGAGTAGCTTCGTCCGCCACTTCTTGATCCATGGTCCAAACCAAACTCTTTATCACAGGAGTAGGCACAAACTATTGTGTGATTGGTCAGAAGGTTGTGGGTGTGTTTGTTTATGCAGAAAAGTACTCTAACAGCAATGGTGTCATTTCACTTTAACTACAACTCTTCCAGAAACCGGCTGTTGTGCGTGGAAGCAACACAGATAGTTTTGAGCTGTTTGCCTAGGCGTTCTGAAAGTATCTATAGGACTCTACCAGATCTGTAAGGCCTGAATGGACTGGCTATGTGCCCTCCAAATCTGTCAGATCCAACAATTCAACAATTTGCCTTTGGTTGTTCTGTGGTCCAGACTGGTCCACAGAGTTAATAAGGCCTTTTCAGTTGTGGCTCCTAAATGTGGAACCAGCAGCCCCGTCACATCACACAGGCTAACTCCTGGTGCTTTTAAATCTCATCTTAAAAACACATTTGTTTTACAAAGCCTTTAATTCATCATGAGAGCTGACTTTTCCTCTTCAATGGTTTGTCAATTTGTTTTTATTGTTCTTATGATCTTGGATTCTGTTATGTCTTTTTATTAGTTGTGATACAAAGCACTTTGGCCAACGACGGTTGTTTTAAAAGTGTTATACAAATAAAGTTGACTTGACTGATTAAGACAAACGGTCAAAACCTCCTGGATGGAGCGTCGACATTACACATTAAGGAATCAGTCTACCAGAGTGTGGAGCTCTATCTGTCATTACTATTATCTCAAATTTCAGCTCAGTATCTGAAAGATCCACTTGTAATAATTTTAACAGACAGGGCTGACTCCAAAAGGTGAGCAAACATCTCACGTATTGAGAAACTTTGGAGCCTGTGCTGTGGGGGACTCTTCGCTACGAACAGTCCAAACATTAACACAATAAGACTGAGTTTCAGCCAAGTTTGTGCTAAGGTCACTTAGCTGCTGCGGCCATCTTGAATTGGATTGACTAAAAATTAATCAGTTATAGATGTAAATCAAATTATTACTTGCCGAGATTGTTAAAATATGTAAACTGTTTAATATGATTTTACTACAATGATAGACACACACACAAGATATTATCGCTCAATGTTTAATTGTTTTAAGGATTCAAATAGGAATAATATTAGGAAAAACTTTAATTTTCTTCATCTTTATAAAATATTTTTCAGTGGAGAGCAAAGAAATGTATTAATAGAAACTCTGAACTTCACTAAAACATGATTTAAAATGTTAGTTTCAGTGGAGCTGCAGTTTGGATCTTATCTAAACATGAACCCTCTTATAAATACAAGAATAGATAAGTTTTAAAGCACCAAAATTATGCTGACTTTTATATCTTAAAGGGGCTTTATCATGTAAAATCAACTTTTTTGAGTTTTATATCATGTTATGTTATACTCTCATAAAAAAACACGCCCAAAGCCTTGCTCTGCCTCATTCATGTATGTTTGAGAAATTCTGCAGTATTATTTAGGCAGCCATGCTGAGGAGCAAAATTAACAGGTGGGCACCAGAAACGCCCCTGGGACGTGTCTTTAAGCCGAACTTCCTCATGGCAGAGCACGCGGCCCCCACGTGCAAACTCCACCCTCCACCACCGAACAGGACGGAACAGAAGCAGAAGGAGGTTCTTACAGAGACAGAGGCCAATTTCAAGGTGTTTAGAAGCGGAAGTGATGAGAAGTTTATTTTTCTATTTAAACAAAAAAAAAAAAAACAGCATTTTAATAACAGCTAAAGGTGACATAGATACTTTATTCAAGTATAGTATTTAAATATATGCCTAAGAAACACATAATGTAGGCCCTTTAAGATAAGCAAGCTGCAAGAAAACAATAAAAAGCATAAATGATCATTTTTAAAAAGCAGTGTTTATTTCCTGTTCGAACAAACTTGCTAATATTAACTGCTGAAGCTGTGTGTCACTGAGCTATTGTTAAAATGTGCTTACTAAAGTATTACAAGCTTAAATGTAGAAAAGCCACCAACTTTTCATGTATGTGTTGGTCTACTATTTAGTAGTGTGCTTTTAGTCWGCAGGTCAAGAACCACTGACCCCATAATGGGTGCTATTAGAAAGCTACAATTCTTCTGCACAACAAACCACTGGTAGAACTCAAAGACGTTAACACATTCAACCCACCAAACCTAATTTACTTAAAGTTTAGCTAAACAGAGATTTCAGGAGAGCCTTATCAGGGAGACAGGTTAATGAGTAATATTTGTTTGAGGTCTCTAATAGCTTTGACAAGCTTCTGGATCAAAGCCCACTCCACTGCCAAATCTGATGATTAATTAACGCCAAAACCTTTTGTCTTTAGACTTTCAAAAATAAACGAACGAATGACTGAATGAATGGATGGATGCCTGGATTAACTGATGTCCAAACAACTGCTTTATTAAGGGTAATCAACATTTTTAGGTAGTTTCAACACTTCAGACTTATCAGGAACTATGTCTTAAAACTACCACTCAGATAGCTGCAGCATTCCAGGAAGTAAATGAGTGAGTTAAAAAATAAATAAACAGTTTGGAGGAGGAAACGAAGAAAAAAACAGAAAAACAAAAAAAGTGTTACTAACAAATACAACCCTAATTGCAAAAAAGTTGGGATGTTGTGTAAAATAATGATTTGAAAATTTTACAGACCCGAATTCTGTTTACAGTGGAACATAACATATTGAAAAGAAAATTTTAGGAAGTCTGAATGTATCAGAATGGGCAGAGGTTCGCCACTTTCCAAAAAACCATTTAAAAACACAACAATTTGAGAACAATATTCAACACAAAATTGGTAAAACATTGAATATCTGATCATCTACAGTTCATAATGTCATCAACATATTTTAATAATCTGTAGAAGTCTCTGAGCTTAGAGGCTGAAATGATGATCATTCTGATCTTCAGGCCCTCAGGGAGCACTGCATTAAAACAGGTCTGGTTCTGTTCTGGATATCACAGCATGGACTTAGAAACATCGTCTAAACACAGTTCGCTGCGCCGTCCACAAAAGCCAGTTAAAGCTCTATCATGAAAAAGAAGTCACATGAACAATTTTTGGGCTAAAGCTAATTTATAATGGACTGAGGCAAAGAGAAAAATTGTTTTGTTGTCAATCGAACCAAAATTTGAAATTTTTTTGGAAACTCCAGACACCATGTCTTTCATATTAAGAAGATAAGGGACCATCCAGCCTGTTGTCACAGTTCAAAAGCCCGCCTCTCTGATGGTATAGGGGGGCATTAATGCCTCTGACAGACAGCTTACTGATCTGGAAAAGCACCATTAATGCAGAAAAGTTTATAAAAGTTTTGGTACATAATATTTTCCCTTTCAGCAAAAACTCCTGCAAGGATCCTGGACTGCTGAACAACTAGAGTCCTACAGCAGAAAACAGGACAAGACGCCCTCCAACAACTGGACTCTTCAGTTCTACTGTACATGTTGACAGACTGTTCAAGGAAAAGCTGCACAGTGGTGAAAATGACCTGATGTGTTTTCACTTCATCTTCAAAATTACCTCATTAGTCTTTTTAAAAAATGTTACAACTTCTTTAATATGCTTCTTATGTTTCAATGTGAATAAAATCTGGGTTTAAAAGATCTGCAAATCATTGCATTCTGTTTTTATTAATGTTTTATGTAACATCCCGAATTGTTTTAGAACAGCAACAGTATTAAGATTTTTATTTTGCTTTGTTTCATCTAAAAACACAATGCACAAAAATTATATTTATGTTAGATTTTAGTTTATATATTTGTAGATAAAATGCTAGTAAAATACTTCACTCCACTAAAATCCAAAAATCCCTGAGTATAGTGGTGAATTAGAAAATTGAACAATTTGGGTTGAATTTTGTCTTTTAAAAAGAAGAGTGCACGGTTTTACTTTCACTAATTAATTATCAGTCATAGCAGTGAAYATTAATTAATGTAAAACCACAAAATATGAGAAACTTGACCCCAACTACTGCTGACTGAGGAATAAAACCACTTCTTTTAAAMTAATTAAACAAGGACTTTACAACAAAATCTGCTTCGACCATTTTACAACTTTTATCCACTTTGATTACAGTTTTACTTTGATGCAACAGCTGGAACAAAATGTGTCGTTTTAGAAATCATTTCTAAATTCAGTTTGGTTTTTGAAAACCCTCCTAAAACCCGAGGCTTGGTGTTTGATGAGGTAAAGGTACAAGATTCATGTTTTTGAGTCATGTTGATTTGCAATACATTTTACTGACTTAGCTGCAGGGCTGCTGTAAAACAGGAGTTGTACAGGCCTGAATCTGAAGAGAATCCATTACTGAAATGAGACTTTTTTTAAATCAACTTTTTGATCTACAAGACAAAAAAAGCTTTTAAATATCTGGACTAAAAGAGTTTTTGAAAAKAAAATAAAATGATGTATTTTGCATGAGTACTCAGAATAGAATTTTACTGTAACCTTGTGATTAGTGGAGTCCAGGATGAATTCTGCTTTGACTCCATTGTTCTCTGGACTGCGGTAGTCAAACAGTGAGTTYGTCAGATAAGTCATCCCTTTACTTTTTAGGTTGTCCCCACAGCTGAGGAACACTGCCTCCTGCAGAGACAGAAACATGGAGAAAAAAACAAAAAACAAAAAGAAACTGAGCAAATATTTACGATTGCTTAATTTCATAGAAACATCCATCTTTCCAATACATATTTCAATCGAAATCTATTTTTAAACACTTAAATATTTTTAATACTTTCCACAAAAAGCAAACAATTGTACGAACTAAACAAAGCAGCTCACAAAAAAAGAAAAAAAAAAGCTAAAAAAAAACTTATTTGGGAAAAAAGGGAAAAAAAACCTCTTTTGCATGTAAAGACAATTTTCGTCTTAAGCAACAGAGTGAGACAATAATGTAGGTATTTGTGGGGATTTTTATTKTAGCTCTTCTTTTACCTCTTCACGTCGGTTCACATTTTCTTCAAAATCTAGAACTCCCATGATGCCTTTCAGGCAGAGTGCCCGGCAGCCCACAAATCCAATCTGACAATTAAAGAAGGGCTCCCCCATCATGAGCACCTACAAGAAACAACAGAGGAGGTTTAAACCACACAAAGTCAGTTTGTAGTTACTGTAAATTTAAAGAAAGGACCATTTAAAATGTTAAAAATCAGGAGATTATTTGTAAACTTTTAAAAATTCACGTATAAGATAACTTGCTGAAAGCAACCATTTATGTCCTCCGTGACACTTTCAGACATACATTAAAAATAAAGAATTTGGCCACAGTTCAGCATTTCTATTTCACTCATTTGCCATTTTCTTAGCCAGTTGTTGGGCTTATACCTCCTGTGAAATGAGTCACCCTCCGGTCTTCCAACATCCCTACATTTGGTCCAAGTTCAGACAGCTCACTCTCTCTTTTCCAGAAAAAATATAAGTTACAGAAACTAAAAAATTCTCAGGAACTTCACATCTGGAATAAACCTCTGAAGAAATATCTTCTTTTAAAYTGTTTAAATTCTAGCTCAACCCTCTTTACATTAAACCAGTAAATGTTCAACAAGCTGGAAACTGGTGACTTAGCAAATTTAAAATTTATCTCAAGGAAGAAATGAAGAAAATATTTAAAATTGTAAATAAATTTGWATAGTAATAATCAGCAGGAAGACATTTACTGCTTTGTATTGGCTGTCAGCCATGGTATTTAACAAAGCTGCTCAAGCTTTAGTAAAAACAGCAACAAAATAATTATTTTATAGATGGTTGCTGGAAAACTGAAAATCTGCTCATTTATTCTCTTTATCATAAGCGCCGTAGATCCTTTTTAATTTAACACTTAAAAACACGTGCACTAATGTCATCAACGACACAGTGAGGTAAAGACTCTGACCTCGATAGTGATGCCTTCTTGCTCCAGACACAGAACCTCTTTGGACTTGACTTTCTGCGGGCTGTAGTAGCTGCTTTCKGACTGTGTGTCTGTCAGCTAGGACAAAAACAGAGACAAATATTTCATTTGTTGCTTTGAGTCACATGTAAAACATTAAAAACACATTTTGTTATCCTGGCAGCATGGTGAACCTAAATGCAAAGACTTTTGTCCTCACAGTCTCCGGTGAGGACAGTTGGGACTTACAGGATGATCAAGTCCCAAAAGGCAGCTTATTTTCTTATTTCAAGAATTTTACCAAGTACAATTGTCTCACTCCATTGGCAGATTTTTCACTTAATTTGTGCCAAATTTCTTGTCTAACAAGATTAATAATCTTACACATTCTGTTCTTGTTTAGTAAATCAGTCTCAAAACAAGATCCAAAAGATTTTTTCTCTTTTTTTGGCTGGATAAACGATTTTAAAACTTGGTTAGATGGACAGTTTTTGCAGATTGAAGTTTAGAATTGTCCGAGTTATTTCAATATTTTTTACAGACTCTGTCATTAAATGACCTCATCTAGAACTGAGTTTTTGCACATTTATTTAAAACTAATGCATTGTGGTTAAATCTATATGATCATTCAAGGATCATTCAATTAATTATATTGTAATAAAAATGCTAAGAGTAGTGAAATAGGAAGAATTTAATAAAACTAAATGAAATGCAGGCTAGAAATTGTAATGAATCGATGATAAATACAATGTAACAAAAATTAAATCTGGAAAAACGTCTCGTGTTTCATTGTTTTAGGTGTCTGTATAGGCAAAATACAGTTTAAAATGAAATATGTATATGGTAGACATTGGATTTAAGTTTAAAATATTAAATAAGCAACAAGATAGTCTGTTTTAATTTTAGGGAAGAGACGCCTAATGAAAGTCAGAACGCTACAAATTCCAAATGGACAAAATAAAAATTAATTCCTTTTGTAAACAAAGTTGTAAAGTAACTAAGTACAAATACTTTGTTACTGTACTTAAGTAGAAATTTTGGTTATCTGTACTTTACTTGAGTAATTATTTTTCAGCATATTTTTTACTTTTACTCATTACATTTTTACACAATTATCTGTACTTTCTACTCATTACATTTTCTAAAAAGGTAAGAAGTAGAAAGTCGTTACTCCTATTTTATTCTGAGTTGTTATTACTTAGAAAAAAATACTATCCTGATAAATTGTGTCTCCTGGATAGAGTGAATTTAATTGTGGTTGGATGAGAAGTATAAATATTTACCATTYTGACACCGTATTACTTTGTACACAACCCATCACAGCTGCACGCTGTTAGAAAAAATGTTTTTTTTTTCAGAAGTCACCTCCCAATAAATGTCATTTTGGAAAATCTAATTGCTCACTTTTACTCTGTACTTTTACTTTTAATACTTAAGTAGATTTTGGGTGAGAAATTTACTTTTGATTCTTAAGTACCAAAAATATCAGATACTTTAAGACTTTTACTCAAGTAATATTTTTAGAGAAGACTTTTACCAAACTTTTACCAAAGTATTTTTATGATAAGATACTTGTACTTTTACTCAAGTATCACTTTGAGGTACTTTATACAACACTGCTTGTAAATGAGAAAAGCAGGTAGTAATCATTGGCTGCACAGTGGCGTAAGCTGGTTAATACCAGTATTTGACAGAAATAAGGTGTCAGATTCTGTGTGGAGTCTGAGTGTGGGTTTTCCTTCCACAGTCCATAAACATGCATGTTGGGTTAAATCAAGTTTCCAAATTAATCCTAGGTGTGTGTGTGTGTGTGTGTGTGTGTGTGTGTGTGTGTGTGTGTGTGTGTGTGTGTGTGTGTGTACACGTTTGTCTCATGTGTCTTTGTGTTAGCAGTGTGAGGGACTAACCACCTGTTCAGGGTGTACTCAGCCAGGGGTAACCCCACTGACCACCCTGAACGTGATGTAGTTCATGTAGAAAAATTGAWGAATTCATGGAAAAAGTTTGTTTTATAATTATTCTTAGGTCTAAAAATAAAGTGAATGTGAAGAATGAGACATACAGAGCACCTGGTCAAAATTAGCTGGCTGGAATGAGGAGCATACGGGGCTGCAAAGCTTCTGAGGTGAGTTTAAAAAAAGTGTGGGTGTAAACCAGAACACAACCCATTCAGCTTTAACACAGGAAGCAGGTGCAGAGCAAGAAGCAGCTGTGGCTTATTACTCTGATGGAGCAGACTCTCATTCTCACTCCTTTCCTCTCCTTAGATTCTGATAGTTTAATCACATGCAGGGTCCAATTCCCCTGTACTCCCCACAAAACCTGCAAGACTGAATATAATGATGAATGAGCATTGACTATTGCTTAAAAAAAACAAAGTGCACAGTGGCACTGTGACTAAATAATTACTAAGACACCTGTAAGCATGTTAATTCCTTAAGAATGTGTCACTGTCTGAACTAACCTGGTGGATCATTTGTGATTAAACCTAATCCTGAAATAACAGGCCAGACGCATAAATGTTTAAAAAAAAAAAAAACACCAACGCAGACAGCAATACCAACAGACAGCTGCTACCCTTCACACAACCTAACTTCATTTAAAAGTAATGCAATTATACTAAGGTGGAGTGAACAATAAGTAGTAAGAAATTAAATTAAACTACTGGATAATAATTTAAAGAAATGTTTTTATATAAAAAAAATGCAGTGTAGTCTGGCTTGTAGTGAAAGTTTGGCAGGAGTGCAAATCAAAAGAAGGAAACAACTGGTCAGTTCTAAACTATGCATAATGTGTGTAGAAGTCAAAGTACTTTGCCATTATTTTTCATCAAAGAGAACTGGGGAGCAGTGTGTAAGTAATCTAAAAATACATCTCTGATTTCACATTCATGTCAGACTCAAGTTCAGGCATTGGCAGTTCAAAGGCATAAAATTCCTTCAAACTAAATACTTCCTTGTAGGAAAGAGAMAAGTATGTCTAAGAAAAAAAAAGTCCTTTCAGCTGCCTGCAATTACTCCAGAAGAGTGGCAATTAATTGATTAAAAGAACTTAAACAATACAGGAACAGTTTAAACATTAGAAAAACACGATGGTTTTTGTGGCATGAGAAATACTTTTTCACTGATCACACGCTTTCAAATGCTTGTACACTCTCCCTCACATTAAAACACACACAAACTCTTGCATGCACAATACTTGGGGTATATACACACACACACACACACACACACACACACCTAAAAACGGAAAACACTCGTTCTGTACTACCGGTAATGTGAGCTGCGGTGCCTGTATCTGAGGGGAAACAGAGATGAATTCCAACAGTTCTGTGTGAGCACACAGGATTTCAACTTTCAGACCCATTTCTACATAGTGTTTGTGCCATGCATAATGTTTAAAAGCATGACCTGAGACAGAAGCGTACACCACTGACCCTGTTACCACCCACTGAGGCTAAGAAAGTTTCAACTTGAAGACAAATTTAAGAAAACTGAATCCCTCATTGTCCCAGAGGCTTATCAAAAAGATGCTCAAAAGTGATGAAGATGTAGCTCAAGATGAAAATCAACTACAATAAGATATGTATTTATGTGTGAGTGATGGTCACTAAAAACAGTTAACAMTTTATAATAATTTCACCTTATTTAGCCTTACTTAATCATTAATAAACATAATTAAAATGATTTATACTTAAGCTATAAATGAACATACTAATTAATTCTTCAACCATAAAGGCTAATTATTTCCAAAACCAATACACTCATTGTTTATTTGTGGTTATTAACTCATGAATTAACTATTCTACATATTGTGTATATATATGCTCATATAAATTTTATTTCACACCATGTGTTAGATATGTATTAAAGGTTAGACAATGTTTTAAATGACTGATTTTAATCTTTTTTCCACAGGTGAAAAGGAACTTGCAGCCCTTTAGGGTTTTTTCTACATTACCAAAATAAAAAAGTATAACTAGTCTTCAATTTAGAAGAGTTCACAAAAAGACTTCACTACTAACAGCTGCCTTGATTATCAGTGGACTGCAGAATTAATAGAAAGTTAATTCAAATGTTCTCTAACCATTAATATGTGGTACACACAGTATATAAAACAATTTATTCATGGTACTGAACTTATAGAGCGCTTTTCAAGTCCTCCCGGACCCCAAAGCACTTTACACTAACAGACATTCACCCATTCACACTCACATTCACACACTGATGAAACACACACAAACTGCACTGTAGCCACAGCTGCCCTGGGGCACACTGACAGAGGTGGGGCTGCCATGCACCGGCGCCACCAGACCCTCTGACCACCGTCAGTAGGCAAGGTGGGTGAAGTGTCTTGCCCAAGGACACAATGACTGAGACAGCTGGACGGGGGATCGAACCAGCGACCTTCTGGTTCCAGGACGACTCCCCTAACCACTCTGCCACAGCCGCCCTATTCATGAGTTATTATGCAAGAACAAACATTGAGTAAGTTGGTTTTGGATGTAAATAACCTTTAGCCATTAGCAATCACTGTRTGTAGAACTAACCTGAAACTTGTGACACTGCTGTGCTACGTGAGGATTATAATTGATTTTTTGTTTTTTTGTCAAACATGAAATTTACCTTGAAAGTGAYGGAGGCCTTAGTGCAGTAAAAACCTATGGAAACAACAGGGTCTTTGCATGTGTGTTGCTGAGGGTTGTTGGAATTGCCTCCTGTCTCGTTCTGCTGGTAAAGACCTTCCTCCCCTTCTTCCTCTGCACCTACAATGGCAGGGACGAAGGACCAAGCCCAGGACATCCAACCCTGGTCTGCTTCCTCAGGACTCCCACATTCCATGTAAAGGTCCTGGCTGGATCCCAGGCTTTCCATTTCAACATCCATCCCTGACAAGAAGAAAAAAAAAAAACGTTTCATTTAGTCTTAATACAGACAAGAGCAGATGGTTTTACATGAAAAGGAAATCATGACTAAATCTTAGTCATTCCAATCCTGAATATATACATGGACATAAAATGTTTTATGAATAAAAGTTGGAATATTTACATATAAACAAACATTAAACAGCCTAAAAGGTGGATTTTTAAAACAAATCATTGTGCTAGATAAATAAGCACTACCAAAATTGAACAAAATACCACAAACATATATTAAATCACATCAAGGCTCAGATACAAAAATATAAACCTCATTAGCATGGTTTTACTACACAGGGTGGCTGTGGTGGGTTGCTGGTTCGACCCCCCATTTCAGCTGCCTCACTCATTGTGTCCTTGAGCAAGACACTTTGCCTGCCTTGCTTACTGGTGTTGGTCAGAGGGTCCAGTGGCACTGGTTCATGGCAACCCCACCTCTGTCAGTGTGAACCAGGGCAGCTGTGGCTACACTGTAGCTTACCACCATCAGTGTGTGAATGTTTGTGTGAAGTGCTTTGGAGGACGATGGGATTTGATAAAGAGCTAAATAAGTTCAGTTCATTTAGTCCAATCTGTTTAAACTTGAAGGCACACAAAGTAAATCAGTCAAACAGAGAACTGGTAAAGGCTGAAAAAAGGAATTGGCCAATGACCCCAATGAAAGTGTTTCAGTTGTCAAACACAGATTGAGGCACCTCCTTAATGTAGCTGTATAATTATTAATGTGCTGCTGAGGATGGGTGATGAAGTGAAGAGTCAACACAATCTGCTGGCTTCTTTAGATTGATTGTTTTTTGTTTGTTTGTTTTTTTGTGTGTACAGTGCCCTGAGACAATGCTTGTTGTGACTTGGTGCTATATAAATAAACTTAACTGAAGTGAATAATTATTCATGTGGACTGTGAAGTCACTGCTGCATGAGCACTGCAGCAGTTTCTACGAGAGCCACAGTCTGACRGTGAGCATCCTGACAGAAGAGGGCCTTGACTGGACTCAGTCTGTGCTGAAAGAACATCAGCTATGTTCACAAATGTATGTGCAGTGAGGCTGGGTCATACTTCTAGATACAAACTGAGCACTAAGACTGTAGGTCTTACGTAAACCATATTCATACACTGATGGGACACATCAGAGGCAAAGGGGGTCCAGTGTCTTTCCCAGGGACACTTCAACATGTGACTGAATAGCAGTGGAATCAAACCTCCAACTTTCTGATTAGAGGATGACTCAGCCACAGCCCAGGAGCTGATTGGACTGAAAGTAGAGGAGAGAAACTCAAGTATTGATCTCATTGCGATCTATTCATACTTATACAATCAAATACTGGGTTAGTATATACATTACTTCGGTGATTTAACAGTTCGATGAAATGCAACGTGGTCAATCAGACAGAGAGCACTTTAAAAAAACATCAGATACCACACATGAATATGGTCTAGGTCTGATTTGAAAATAAATAAATATAATTTGTAACATTCAGACTGTCATAGAAAAGCAGATATGAACCACAAAAGACAAAAACAATTAAATCAAATTTAGGCCACTTTTGCTTTGTAGCAACTGAATCTCCAGTGCAGTCCAGGTTTGTTTAGCTCAGACTATAAAAGACTACAGTATAAAATATGAACCATGGAGATAAACATAAAAAAGCTCAGAGTTAGATTTGACAAAAGTAAAAAACAAAGATCTAATAATCCAATCCAGTAAACTGTTGTGTTTGTGGTAGGAGTGTGAGCAAATCCCCCTCCACCACCCTGAAAATTTCACTTTTATTGTTTCTCTTTTTTTTTATTTTATCTTATTTTATTTTGAAGGTTCACAGATGTCCAAATCACCACATACTGCGTACCCTGACCGGTAAACTGGTATTGTGTCAGAATAGAGGAAATTGATGTCAATACACAAGAATGTGTAATCCCATTCCTTACTGCCTCGTGTCCTAAGCGAAAAACAATATTGTCTGTGAAGTCATAGTTCAGGAATCCCAGAGGCTAAAGAAGTGAAAATTGACACATTTTAATTAAATCTTTCACTTTATGAATTGGCAGTTGGAAATCCCATGTTAAAGCTCTTTTTTTTCTTTTTTTTTTTCTCTTTTTTTTTGACGAATCTAAGTCTGATTTTCTCTTTTCATTTTTACTTTTTCAGCTTAACTGGTCAAACGTTTTCACTTCACATCCTGACAAAAGGCTACGTCTGAATTGAAAGTTAATTAAATTAGATGTACAATAACAAATTAAATAATCAAAACAAATAAGCTTAAGGAGATTTTAAAAATACWATGCCAAAAAAAGGTAGAAGTCAGAAAATGTGTCCTCATGTGTGAAATAAAACTATTCCTGTTCAGTTCGACTATAAGYGCAGTCTGACTGGCTCTTTTTTTAAGACAAGTAAAAAAGCAAATGTGACACCACTGGAGTTAGTTTGTTTTGTTTCTTTAAAWCCACAAGCAGACCTTAAAGCTACAGTAGGAAAATCTATGAAAACCGTGGACAACCCTTACAGGTCCCTCCCTCCACCRCCGCTCCCCACTCCCACAGGCTGGTGAGCGACACAGCTCAGGAAGGCTGATTGATGAAAGTGGCAGTTTTTCTGTAACATTAGCTTGTTTTCCCATCAGCAGCTGCAGCACACCTGCAGTCTTGAGCTTGAACGAGGACACGCGCTGTGCGTGGGTATGGTGTGAGCAGCACGTAGACCAGCGTGATTGACACTGGTAAGACAACCCTCCTAGCTTTGATTGGTTGTTTCTGACAGAGTGGTGTATTTCTGTAAATGACTATAGGACCACTGGGAGGAGCTTGATTTTTTTTTTTCTGTGATTATCTGCGTCGAATTCTACTGTCAGGAGGACATAGTGACAGTTAAGAAAAAATGTAAAAAAAATACATCTTTATGAGTTACCAAATTCAGCTTTAAATGCTCCGCATCATAGATCCATGAGAACATCAACAGGACATTGGGTCTTTGCCTCAGGTAGAAGAGTTCAAGTATCTGGACGTCTTGCTCATGTGATGGTAGGACGGAGCGAGGGATCGGGGCCTCATCCTCAGCGATGACGGGGTTGCTTTGCTCTCGATTTGTTGTTCAGTCAACATTTCAACCTTCATTTCAAACTCAAAAACCTTTCAAACACTCATGAGGTTTGGGTCATAACTGAAAGAACAAGATCTCTTATATAAGCGGCCAGAATGTGCTTCCATTGTAGGGTGGCTGGGTTCAGCCTTAGAGATGAGAGCTTGGAGTGGAACTGCTGCTCCTCTGCATCAAATAGTCCTTTGAGRTGATTCATCATTTCGGGCATGTCCCACTGGGAAGAGGCCCCCGGGCAGATTCAGAACCCACTGGAGTGATTCTGTACCTTCTCTGGCCTGGGAACACATTGGGGTCCCTCAGGTGGAGCTGGAGTGAGGGAGGTCTGGGTTTCTCTACTGAACCAGTTACCTCTGCAACCCAATTGATAAGYCGTAGAAGATGGAGGTTATTTAAGCCAAATCATTAAACATATGAAGCAAACACACAGCAAACAGCAGAGCCAAACTTCACCASTTGCATTTGGATTTTGATGAAGTTCCATGCACAACTCCAGTATAAATGTTCTAACCTGTTGTGTCAAATAACAGTTTCCAAAAAATACAGCCTGCAAAAATAGTTTTATGAAAGCAAAATTAATAACTAAGTGATAAATGGACTGCACTTTTACAGCACCTTTTCTAGTGGTAAAGACTAAAATATTTTTACACCAAAAGTCCCTTTCACCCATTCACAGATCAGAGGCAGCATGGAGTTCAGGGTCTTGGCTAAGGACACTGATATCTGGTGGGGCCTGGATCAAACTGCAAACATTTAGAGAAAAGATGACCATTCAAGAGTAAAGTAACTGTAAAATAAATGAATACATTTAATATTAATGTCTGTCTTAACTAAATAAAATTAGATTTTCTCAAGAGTAAAATATCATGTCAACTTTCATTATTTTCAGAAAGGCTTAGCTTTACTTCTTAGACTCCAATTGTACAGTTGGACATCCCAACACACACACACACACACACACACACACACACACACACACACACACACACACACACACACACACACACACACACACACACACACACACACACACACACACACACACACACACACACACAGACACGACTGCACCCAGCTACGCTTCAGCTTCTTCACTCTGTCAATTACTTCAAACACAATAAGGACTGGAGGCACTCAGGTTCCAAGATCTAGTTCCCTCTTGTATATTTCTGCGATGAGATACTAATTCATTCTCACAGGTTCTGCATAGCAGCAGCATGACACAGACTCTTGGACAATAAAATGAAAGCTGCACCAACTCGCAGTGAAAGTTCCAGACCAAGAGGCAGGGAGCAAGTTGGAAAAAGTAAAACTAAACTTTGTGGTGCTTCCTGCATTTCTCAGTCCACATCTTTAATTCCACCAAATTTGGCTCCTTGTAACAAGAGACCTGTGTCTTGATCTTCTWAACATGAAGAATAAACGCTTTATGAAGAAACAAAAAAAGTTATTTGAGAATTAAGACTGTATATTTGTACACATAGAGTTTGATATGTTAAGACCATTWGGAAATTAAGAAAACTCTACAACTATTGCACACTAGAGTGCACAAAGTGAAAAAGTTTTAAAGCATACCCTCATTTYTCTACGAGCCTTAAATATCTGACATCCCGAAACTTATCAGGCCTGATAAAATAACCCATGTTAAGTTTTATACACCCCTTTTTCGTCTGTTGAAAAACCAAGTGAAGCAAATWGCACGGCAAAATAAACGGCAAACGTGTAAAAACAGCAGCGGCATTGGGAAAAAAAGAACCTTCAAAACAGGAAAAAAACAGCACAAAGTCAAGAGTCAAAGGATGAACATGGACCTTGGTGCTGATTGGATTACAGGAAAAAGTTGATAAGTTCCAAAATATTGTTTATACTTTGTTAAAAATAAAAACCTATTTTACATATTTAAAATAAATACAACATTGCAAAACAGACGAGGCTTTCCCCTCTTGCCTTCACTCACCTGGTGAACTTGCTCCGCTCTCTCTGACATGACCGATTCCTTCTTCACCCTCATTCTGTTTGTGTCCTCCTATTTCCCCATAGTAGAGGGCAATAATCAGCTCTAAAATCCGGATAAACATGGGCAGCTGCTGGTCAGTTATGGACAACTTCAGGCTTTCCACCATGGTGTGAATCTWAAAAAATGTGAAGAAAAAACTAAATTACTTGTGCCATTTTAACATGTGGTTTGTGGCACATAGATTAAATTGCTCATCAAAAAGTAGGCAAGAAAATAAATATAAAAAGYTAGAAATGTATAACTTTCTGAAAGAATAAACGTGGCTCAAAATCTTGCTAAGGGACCTGAGAAACTAAACCTCTATAAAAACACAATGTTTCAAGTGAGTTTTGTTGAACTACATGTTGATCAGGTTTACAGTGAAACCCTGCAAAGTCAGACTCAGTCATTCGCAGATGTTTCCTTAGAACCTATTTCCTTAGAACCTAACTAATAATTGTTCACGGAAATCCCCACAATTTCACAGAAACTGCAAATATCTTCCTTAATTTCTTTCATGTTTTCATGGTAATATAGAAATTTTCACTTGAGGAGCTGCACTCTTCATCGTCATTGCAGAACTTCACTGTACTGCACACAGCTATCTTCACCTGTCCGTGTCCTTGTCTTCCTAGATTTCTTCCCAACGTGGGCAAACTGAGTCACAAGTTTCTCCATCTGTTTTGTGCTTCATGAAACGGTGACTGTGTGATCTGGTACCGGACTCACAGCTTCCAGGTTTTCAGAGCAGACCCTCTCATCCAGGAAAGTGCCAGGTGGAGTGATCGCTGTTCTCTCCACCTCAATAAGTTTATGTAGCAGCAGGACCCAAAGCATATTGGTATGTGCAAACGTACTTGGCAGTAAATGATTCTGGTKTCTTTTYTTCTGACCCCATGCAAAATTTGCAGTTTTCCACASTTCACAGGTGCTTGAAGAACAAAACTCCTGAGAATTGTAGGTCTACTGTATAACTACTTTCATTGACTAAATCTAGACCTTAATGAACATCTGAATGTCTATACGCATGACTGCTTCACTGAATGAAGTTAACAGATATATGGCACAGTTCACCCAAAATTCCTAAAAAAAAAAATTATTAAAAACACAAATACATTCATACAAATAATTAGTTTTAAAAAATTGGACTCTTACATTTAAAGGCAAACATACCAAACAATGTTTTTCTCTAATACAAAGTAGATAACTTGAAATGCTAAAACAATAAATTTCTTCAGACTGCATTTAGTACAGCTTTTATGTGAAACACAATGTCTTGATCTTGATGCCTAGGATTTAATTTGACTAAAATTTGGAGTTACCTTGATGACAGATGGGATCTTGGAACTGATGTTGTCGTAGGTGAAATGCAGCCGTGTCCTGAAGGAGCATTTGTACAACAGGGGATCCTGGTAAAACTCGATCTTCCCACTGGCATTTCGCTTGTCTAAGCACACAGTGCAATCTGAAAAGTTTATAACTTTTCTCAGGACTAATTCTGAAGCTAAAAAAAAGACAAAAGAAAAATGTTAATGTCAAATATCTAAAGATTATAAAACAAAAATAATAATATCTCTTATGGCTGTTGGTTAGGTTTGTCCTGGCCACCCTTTAGAAAAGTTTCTGGAGGCACCTGCTCAGGTCTCACAGTGCTCTTATCTGACTTTGGAGTTAATTGAGTTTTTTTTAAATAAAACACTTCTCTTACTCTGAACAGACAACAAACTTATAGGATATAAAGGCTATATCAGTGTATTTATTAGTTAATTCCATTACCAAGGAAAGTAAAGAGAAATGACTCACCAGTGATGTCCATAAAGGCCCTCTCCCATAAATCATCTACTGTGTAGCACTCAGCTGAAGTAATGTTGACTGAAAGAACAATATCATCTTCAACATACTTCAGGATCAGGTTGTTCACCACAATGTTTACGTTGTTCACCACACGTCTAATCAGGCTCTGCACATAACCTGGAAAGAAAAAAGAAAAAAWATGTGGGGAAACAATCAAAAGAGTTCCTTGAGAAAACATATCACCAGTTAAGTTGAATGCAAAAGTTTTGATTTATGATTTCACTTAATCTGTTAGTGCTCAGAGCATGTGTTGGGGATGACTCTCTGCTACAACTACCACAACTTTAAGATTCAGATCATTCAGCTCATGTTTATATGATAAYAAAAAAGCAGACTCTTGTGTGATGTTGCTAGTTTTCCTTTAGTTGCTACTTCTTTATTACATGATTCATGCAGGTTTCAGTAAGTAAAATTTAAGATCTTTTAAGCCCATTAGGAATGATATTTAAGATCAAACTGACACATTAACAGAAACATTCAAACAGTCCCAGAAATTTTAWYATAGAAACMTTTTATTGTCATCAATTTAGCTATTAAAGAATATTTAATTTTAATACAAGAACACTAAATTATTTTAATGAAATGGTCATATCTATGAGACCTTCATATCCACTGCTGTGGACCACTTCCAGCTGAGTGTAAAAATCACTGATATCAAGCCAAGTCTCATTGAAACCACACCTTCCCATGTTTAACCACAAGCAGTGGACATGACTGAACTTCTTTGTTTGTTGGGCGGGTGAACAAGCCCCCATATRCAGGGGGTTGTAGYGGCAAAGAGGTTGAAAACATGTAAATAAACTGTGCCATTTTTTGCCTGCAGTTATCACAGGATWTGTAGTTTAACCACATACCAAGAGCAGTAGTAAGCTTAGCACTTCATGAAGACAGGTCACGTCAACCTCTGTTTATGCAGCCAATACTTTTCGGGAATGATCGAAAGTTTTAAAAAAAATTAAGACTTGACAAAATTAAATTTAAGACCTTGGACAAAAATCTTAGTGTTTAAGACTTTAGGCCTAAAATGTTGATTTTCAAATTTTAGACTTTTGACTTTTTTAAGACCCCGCAGAACCTTGTTATTGGCTATGTCAAACAGAATAGGCCTCCCTTAAAAATAGACCTGTGAYCTCAGTGGGATTTGCCTGATTAAATAAAGGTCAATTCATGGATTAAAAAATAATAAACAAAAGATATCCATACATAAATGCAAGTGTGTTGCATTAAAACTGATTGATRTTAACTTGACTTATAAATGTAATTTTTTTATCTGACCAGTCAGGAATATGAATTGTACAACAGGTTTCACCAATCAAGCAATTATGCATACCATGTGAATCTATTTATTTATTAGCTCAAACAATATTACTCTATATTTTTTTGTTAATTAAGAGAGCAAATGGTGAAAAAGGTAAATCTTTAGTAAAATTTATATTACACTGATGCAACCTGCAGTATTCTTTCTAGGGATGTCCCAATCAGATACTCAGTATTGGTATCGGTGGCAGATATGGCCATTTTTTGAAAATCGGGTAGAATCGGATTTAGACATGTGATCGGGCCAATCCAGTTTTCGCAACAGTTTTCAGCATCATCATGCTTTACAACTGTCGTTAAGAAGTCAAGACGCACACAAGTATGCAACCATGCCCACAATGTGGAACACTTTTCAATGGAAAACGATGCTGAAACTGCATCTTGCAAAATCTGCAAACTGGATGTTTCTCATGGTGGGAACACCAGGGCTCGCTTTAATACTACCAACCTTGTCACTTGGAAAGAAATAACAAAATAAAGCTATCGAATCGGTATCGGAAAGACTAATCATTAAAAAAATCGGATGGTATTGGGAGCCAAAAAATCTGGATCGGGACATCCCTTATTCTTTCCCTTTAAATTTGTAAATATCCAATTTAAGTGAGAAGGAAAGCAGGTTATTGGAAAATACAAAATATTTTTTAACATAGTTTCACCAACCATTAATTAAAGAAGGCGTACCACCACCCCACCAGCTTCTATATTTAATCTTCTATAGGCTACTTTTTAAATTATGTAAAGTCCATCATTAAAGTGGTGAAATTATGAACAATAAAAGCATTAKGGTTAGGGTTCATTAATTTGCCAACCCTATGTACACATTGGCTCAAAAATAAAAGGCCATTAAACTGCAAAAACCCCAGCAAGCTAAATTAAAAATATTCAAACATCATTAATACATATTACACATCTAAACATATACTTCTATGTTGCATTTATGGGTGGGGTTGACAAGATTTAAACAGCAAAATGAGGAATCCTGTAATGTTAGCAGCACCTCCTTAACAAAAACATACACAGCAAAATTTCAACAAAAAATACTTCCAAATATCTAGGAGTTTTAATGATAAAATATGAAAATATTCATCAATAATTTCTCTTAACCACAAGGAAAATCRTATTTTTCATTCTTTTTAAATGTTTGACTCAACTTAGAATATATATAAACCTATAMTGCTTTTGCTTTCTTTCCAAACCAAATGTTTATCTTCCTGCATCTGCATGCCTGGCTTAGAGAATAACAAAATCAATAATTAGGCAGAACTAAAAAGCACTGTTAATAGAAACATTTACATGAGTAGCTTAACTGTTCCATCTCTTGTACACAGGCCCAATTACATATTGGCATAATCTAATTAAGAAAATTCCCCTCAAGTTTTCTGCCTGACCAAACAGAGTTACAGGAAGACAGAGTATAAGCTCGACTTACAAACACAGTTTCTCTTCATCACATCAGTGCCCGGTCCTGTATGTATTTATGTACTTGTTTGACTTTGTGTATGTGCCTTGTTTTCTTGTGTGTGTGGATGCCCGAGAGAATTAGTGTGTGTGTGTGGATGCCCGAGAGAATTAGTGTGTGTGTGTGGATGCCCGAGAGAATTAGTGTGTGT